AAATTTCACAGTTAGTACGACTATTCGAAAATTTATCGTCATGTTTGATCAAATTCCATAAATAATAACTTACACGGTTTAATTTTACGCTCGATAACAAGTTCATCGTCCTCGTCGAATTACACGGTAGACCCGTATATAGACAAGTTTTCTTTTTCAATCGTTTAACAAGCTTTTCTCTAAACTACTAAAAGTGTTTAATAGCATATAATCAGGCTTAATAATGTATAATTAATCACGACCTCATTAACGAAAAACCACTTGTGATACCAGTCGTGCAACCAAGAAATACTACTTTGCTCCTTATCGTGAAGGATATACCTGTTCCTATTTACCACACGTCCGCATTTTTTCCCATTAAACGCGTGAAATGGTACTTTTATTTTTATACTGATAAATAAACTACCTATTGTTACCAACTTTTTTTATACGAAGTGACGTGTTGCTTTTCTATTATTTTGCTAACTAATATATATATAGATGATAATTACCATTACTTCAAAACTCTAAGAAAATATACTGTACTGTGTACAGTAGTACAGAGAGTCCGGGTGAGATGGCTCAATCTCATTATACAAGCAGTTGAATGTTAATGTTTTAGTTGTATCTATATTGTATCAACCATTCTTTTTATCTGTTTCTATTTGAAAAATGAGCTAAGTTGCGTAATTTTAATAATTTTTTTCTTTTTTTTTTCGTATCCTTTAAATATATTTTTTTAAAGAATTATATTCGAGACGTGATAATTATTTAAAAAAAAAAGTGAGCCATCTCTCCTCGACTTTCTCTATATTCCTGTCTAGATCCTTTAAAATTTTAACACGTTAAGACATATTAAATTAATATCAACAGATATTAATCACTCGCTGATTGTAGAATAAAACTTGAAATATACCAGAAATTCAAATTTCGCACAAATCGCTGAATCACCATTCGCTTGTATCACGCAAGGACGTTTATTATTTAATGCAACATTATTTATTCGAGTTTCACGCATGTGGATCGCGATATCGGTTCCGTGGGCTTATTAATAGGATTAATTCCAGGGTCGGTGAACTACCCTCATTGCCTTCGTTTGATCGTTTTGTACGCATCGTACAACTGCCCGGCTAACTAATGCATCGTATTATATCGAAGACTATACGTATTCATCTTAACGGCACTTTCATTCAATCCGTCGCCGCGGTATTAGATAGACGTGCAGAAATTACACGCTTTACACGACACAATATTAGTACTGCCCACTATAATTAATACCTCTCTAATACGCTTATATCCGTATACGCTTGCTACGTACGTATACTTTCCCATAATCATGACACAATGATACGTGCTTCAAGTTTGGCCAGATTGTACGATTAAATCAAGAATTCGATTGGTATTATGGATAATCAGAAAGCAAGAGATCGTAGCGATACTGCAGGCTATTGTGACAGTAGAATGCTAATTTATTCGCTAATAACACGCTTGACACGCTGAATGCTTTTCTTCTAATAGGGAGACAAATTTTTTCCCATGTCGTTCATTTTACGTACGAATAAAGAGAAACTCGATGTGAC